TAAGGCAACAATCAGACATTTTTATTTATTTTGTATGGCCTAATTGTTTGGACAAGTGTTTATCAATGAATTAAAATTATTTTTTGTAGCCATCTTGTTGTACGTCATTATAAAGTATACTATCCTGTCCGACACCATTTGATACAACACATGGTCAACTCATTACAACGCTTGGGTTTTTCAACTACGGTAAGCTGAACATTTTTCATTGTTTCAAAACCTTGCATGAACTGAGAGCCACTGGACTGGCCACCCTACCGTCATTACTCAGTGAGCAGAGGTACCGAGTAATATCAGATGAGGTTATTGTCATTATGCTTTATTGTAGGGCATATTTTAACTTTAGACTGACTCTCTATTGTACAGATGGGAGCCGCAGTGGCTCAGTGAGTTAGACGCTCTTGCTAACCTGAAGGTCCAGGGTTTAATCCCGGCATAAGTCGAGATAATACCTTTGTATTTTTCATCCCAGTTTCCCTCTGTCAGTGATGCAGGTACGAGGGGCTGACATGGAAAAAGTGTCTAGTCGTTCGGATGGGACAATAAACCGAGGCCCCATGTACTACAGGCTGGGCACTTTAAAGATCCCTCAACAGTTGGAAATCGAAAAAGAGCAGACTAATGCCTCTGTCCTGACAAAATTTCCCTCATTGCACCCTGCATGGCATTGCTCGTCTTCATTAGCCCACATGGTGCAGAAAAGTAGGACGTAAAACTCCATTCATTTCATTTCATTTCTATTGTACAGATTGGGGAATCAGATTTTTGTTTGTGTTCAAATTCACCTTAGCACTAACAAAATGATAATCCTATCTGACTGAAACTTGCTTCTACCCACTTAACCTAGAGTTATTGAATGCAACTTAAAAACAGCAAGATATTTGGTGGAGAAGCTTCCAGATAATGTGTAGTTATTCCATTAATGTTTTAATTTCAGTCCTCTATTGAATATCGTAAGTTAGCTGTGGATTTAGCTGAAGTTATTATAAAATGGGAACTACAGAGGATTAAAGAAGAACAAGAAACAAATGAGGTATAATTCGTTTTAACTCATTTAAGGGATACATTAGTATATATTTGTTTTACCAGTTGAAAGAGCCCAATTAAACATTTTTATATCAGCATTTAAAGATGGGTTCCCTTATTTTCATTTATGAAAATGAAAATGCTAATACTTATATGAATAGAAAGTAGAGGTGTTCTAATGACTTGGAAAAATACCAGTTTGTCTCACATGTCCATAATTAGTTCATAATTAGCCAAATTAGAAGAAAATTACCAGCAGTGACCGATCAAGAAAGGTCAAAAAGTCTTTTTTTGTTTATCCAGACTGTACATACATGGACATTTATGATTGGTTAAAACGGTTAATCATATGCAATAAGAACATAAATAATGATAATTCATTAGAAACACCAATTAATCAAACAGTTTGCTTAATTTGACCCTAAAAATCAAGGAAACCCATCTTTAAGTCTCTTGTCTAGTTCCCAAAATAAACCAAAATTATTTTGCAAGTTTTAACTTTTTTTGGGCAAAGTTATAAAATTTACAATTTCAAGTTATAGAAATAAGAAAGACATTTGTTGTATTAATGTTTGTTTTATTATTTTGTATTTTGTATGTTGTATTTATGTTTGTTGTATTATTTGTATTGTATTTATGTTTGTTGTATTATTTGTGTTGTATTTTGTAGACGGGTGATATTGATGTGACACAAACAGTGATAATCAACCAATCAGTTAAACGTACAGCATCAGTAGATTCACCACAGGATCCTAAACGAGCACGTCATACATCTGGTATAGCTGACAGTCCTCATGTAAGATATCTCTTTAGAGTCACACGCATGAAGTTCTCTTTTTGAAAATTGACATTTCCAAATACAGCTATTTTGATAGGGAAACTCTGAGTAACTACATGATTCAAGCTCTGTTGCATTATTTCTATATCGCTCTACAATTGTATTGAGCACTATTTTAACAGTGAAAATATTTTATTATTGTATCATACCATATCATACCACTTACCATCATCATATCAATATCATACCAATATCATACCAATTACCATCATCATACCAATTACTAATATCATACCAATTACCATCATCACACCAATTACATCATCATACCAATATCATACCAATTACCATCATCATATCAATATCATACCAATTACCATCATAATACCAATATCATACCAATTACCATCATCATACCAATATCATACCAATTACCATCATCCTATCAATATCATACCAATTACCATCATCATACCAATTACCATCAGCATACCAATTACCATTATCATACCAATATCATACCAATTACCATTATAATACCAATGACCATTACCATTATCATACCAATTACCATCATTATACCAATTACCATCATTATACCAATATCATACCAATTACCAATATCATATATAAAAACTTATTAACTAAATATAACAATATTTATTTGTAGAGTCAACGTTCATCTTCAGATTTGAATAAACCAATAGATAAAATATATTGTGATGGCGTGGTCAATTTCTTACTGCGTATAGCTTGTCAAGTCAACGAGGCCTCCGTGACTATAGGTTCGGCTGGTGAATTGTTATCCAAGAGGTGTATACAATATCTGAAAAATGTTTTACGCCCGGAAGTCTGGCCTAACGTGGATCTAAAATTGAATTGGTTCGACAAATTGTTAACCACTGTAGAAAATCAACAACCTAATTTCGCCAATATTTGTACAGCTTTGGAACTATTAACTTTTCTACTCTCTATATTGGTAAGTTTTTGTTATATTTCTATAGTTGTGTGTCCCAGATAAAAATGATTTTTATACGCCCACATGAAATGGGGGGCGTATATTGTCGTCACCCATATCCGTCGGTCGCGTCTGTCCACAATTGCTCGTAAAGACCCTACAAGACACAATTCTTGAGGGATTTTGATGAAACTTGGTGTGAGTGTTGGTAATCACCCAAGGATGAACCCTATTGAAAATCAGAAGAATCGAAAAATATTTAGTATGAGTTGCTGCCCTTGTTCTTGAAAACGCTTTCAAATTTAGCTCTTAAAGACTAAAAGGCATGATTCTTGCTAAATTTTGACAAAACTTGGTTTTATTATTGGCTGAAGATTGAATATTTGCCTTCTAGAGATTTTATGAGCTAAAAATTGAACACGTTTTCAAGAACAAGGGCAATAACTCATACTCAATATTATTCAGTATAGCCCTAAAGAGTTCAAAAGAAATGTATGACTGAAGATTGAATATTTCATACTGGTGATTGTTACTGCACTGCTAAATATTTTTATTCAAAATCAAAGCTGCTAGTGGGCATATATTATCTTGCCTGGCAAGCTATCTTACTACAAGCAAATAAGTATAAAAGAAAATTTTAAAAAATTGTTACAGATTTGAGGAGTGTTTGTAGCACTGCATTGGAATCTTGACAAATATTGGTTTAGGGCCCCATTTCTCCAAAAATCCTACGATCGAGATGTTAAACTTAGCATGTGCAAAACCGACTTAGTAGCCGATGACAAATTGGCTATGGAAGGTGAGGCAACAAGAAAATCGAAGTGTACGAAAAATCAAGAAGGTTTTTTCGTCAAAGAGGTTTGCCTACTGAAAATATATCTCTGGTAAAAGTGAAATCTTCATCCTCAATAAAACTAAATTTTAGAATAAAGCCATAGAAAGTAGTCTGTAAGCCTATTTTGGCAAGACCGTTTTCAAAGGGACGATTTTTACGGACGAGGCGAAATTGTTCTTTGCAATTCAAAGCGCTCGGAAATTTTGATTTCCACAGTCAATGAAACATAATGATGAGGTTATCACTGTTTTGACATCATTTCTGAAGCAAAAAAAATGGCGGCTTTCAATTGAGATGAAGATGAAAAATCGAGAAGGTGGTCAGTGCCACTTGACAATTTCCTGGTCAGTCAAACACCTCAGGGATCAAATCTGATGTCGAATTTTCCTATTTTCCCATTAAATACAGTTATTTATTGTGAAAAATGACTATTTGGTTCTACCATCTGATAGTTACGACAGCTTTGACCACTCGTAAGTTTACACCAGAATTAGTTGTAAACTTTTGATAAATTTGATCCTACGATTTTTTGAGAAACGCCAGTGGTGGAGCCAAAGGGGGGGCAGAGGGGCGGCCGCCCCCCCCTTGCAGCCCCGAAAGCAAGTTTTTCGGCCAAAAATCTCATAACTAGGTTTCAGATTCGGGCAATCTCAGATATCTCGCCCCCTCTTGAACGTAAACCTGGCTCTGCCACTGAGAAACGCCATTTTTTGTGAAACACCATTTTTTGAGAAACGGGCCTTGATCTCTATCCACACGAGATTTTGTTGCAATGTAAGTCTTATCTTTTAATTATATTTTATTCGATGTGATATTTCAGAAAAAAGAAACCATATTATCAAGTTTTAAACCATTACAAAGAGGAATAGCAGCCTGTATGACCTGTCCTAATTCTAAAGTGATTCGTGCTGTACATAGTTTACTTTCACGTCTGATGAGTCATTTCCCTACCGAGCCAGTCACATCTAATGTAGCTTCCAAATATGATGAACTGGAATGTTTATATGGTTGTGTATGTAAGGTGGTGTACGAAGGGTTAACTAATTATGAAAAGTAAGTTCATTGTCTACCGTATATTTCCGAATATAATGCACAAGCGTGTATAATGCGCACCCCTTCCTCACCCCATCAAAATCTGGGAAAAATCCATTTACTCGTATATAATGCGCACCCTTTGTTGACGAAAATTTTAGGTTGGAGATGGCATAACGCAGACACCAAAATAGTGAGTGATAACACGGCATATCCAATTATTTTATTATAATTTTTTTTCTTCTATTTTTTCATGTTTTCGCCGGTAAATCCGTTATTTTTTACATGTGAATTGTACCCATTTACATCTGAGTTGACAAGAATAATGGTGTATGAAATTCTGGAGACTTTTGATAAGTCATCCTTCCTCATTATTCCAGTCAACCCAGCTGTAAATGGGTACAAATTATGATCAATACCAAAAGATTAGAACACGGATAAGTTGATAAAGATCTGCTCAAGAACTGCGTCGTTTCCCTTTTCAAACATTGGCAATCTATTCTCATTCAAAGAGACTCATAATCTGACAAATCTATGTCAAACAGGTCTAGTTCTTTTTTTTTTTCTTTTTTCGTTTTGAAAAAACAAACTTGAATTTTATTTTAGACAGTCCAGTGGTCTACCATCACAGTTATTCAGTACATTGATGATATTGAAAGCTGCCTGCCTGCATAACCAGTGTTACATTGATAGATTGATCACTACTTTTATGAAAGTTCTTCACAAAATGGCCAGAGAACATTTAACTCCATCTACTCCAGAAACAAGTCCCGGTAAATATTATATTATATTATATATTTTCACTCCTTCATTCAGAAATGATATCAATATGCATGCAGAAACTGCAGCCATTTAGATGACTAGGTTATTAAAGATGGATTTCCTTATTTTTTTAGTGACAAATTAAGCAAACTATTTGATTAATTGGTGTTTCTAATGAATTATCATATATTCTTAATCATATCATCATGTTCTTATTGCATATAATTAAGAGTTTTAACCAATCATAAATGTCCATGTATTTGCAGTCTGGATAAACAAAAAAGACTTTTTGACCTTTCTTGATCAGTCACTCATTGGAATTTTGCTGGTAATTCTCTTATAATTTATCTAATTATGAATTAATTATGGACATGTGAGACAAACAGGTATTTTTCCAAGTCGTTAGAACACCTCAATTTTCTATTCATATAAATATTAGCATTTTCATTTTTATAAATGAAAATAAGGGAACCCATCTTTAAAAGACAGTAGTAGCTGTTTGTTTTTTTTCTCTTATATCATAATATTAATTCAGATACAAATGTAGCATCAGGAATAAATAACGGACCTGCTACAGTTAGTAGTAGTGGTAGTTTTGTAGTATGTGTTTACCTGTGATAGATAACAACTGTTTTGTTGGATGTCTTACAGCTGTAGCCAGTGAACTGTTGATACTAAGTTTAGATTTAGTGAAGAATCGTGTTGGTGTTATGAGTATTGAAATGAGGAAGAGTTTCATTGGTCAGATATTGGTTGGTCTGATTGAAAAAACACCAGATGCTAAAGTTGTCAAAGCTATTACCAAAATGGTGGAAGATTGGATCAAAATTAAGGTATGTAAAATATGATTCAATTGCTTGTTGATTAGGGCTGCAATGATTCACCGTTTAATCGATGAACCGCGATTCGTTCCTTCTCATCGATTCATTGCGGAAGAAAGAAATAATCGCGATACATCGGCCCGATTCTCATAAATATAATTAACTCCCTTTAATGACTAATAGCACGGAATCCTCGCGTCTTTTAGAAATTGTTGTTGTTAAAAAATTGCTTTTCACGTATTAATTTGTCTTCAGCATTTTTAATTTTTGTTATAAACGATGAAAAGAGAACATATTAATATGCCAAGTGGAAGATAAACGCATATGATCTGATATAAACTTTTTCTTTTTCCAACGTAATATGTATAATATAAAATTCCATTCGATACAACACTCTTGGAAATTAGATTCTTCAGCTCAAGACGTTTTTATAAAACCAAAATATATATGATCGCCACTTTAGGAATGGTTGCAGCCCTATTGTTGATATATTTCAACTGGTGGCATCCTAGAGAATATGACCAGTCGCTGGATTAAGTGGACTTGAGAGCACAGTTCAAAAATCATAGATTAA